ATTGTGGTACCTGTCACCAAGCACTTGCTGATGACAAGTTCCTGGGGTCCACACACGGGTGCATACTCACACGCATGCACATGCCATCCTGAGAGACATGCTTAGCAATCCTCCTGACATAGAAGCAGCCTAATCCTCGCAGTGCAGGGGGGTGAGGCCTAGCCAGAGCAAGAGCTTCTTATGGGCAAGCAAAGGAACATGGGACTGTGAAAGGTCCTGTAAAAGACAGACCAGGGAGAAATCCTCACATGGCAGTTCCTGTGTGGGGATGGGCTGCAGGAAAAGATTCAATGGCCACGGCAGGGATAGGGCAAGAGGCAAGAGGTCCCAGTGAAGAGCCTAGGAGGGAGCATCGTCCAGGCCACAGCACACAGGCTCTTTGGGATTTGTGATTCCAAAGCTTCATCCAATGTCCCCAGCTCTGGATTCCATCCTTCTGGAATGGGAGTCCCTGACTGCCTGTCACTCAGATGATATTCCAGCTCCATGCTGGTGCTTCCTTCAGACCTTTACTCATGCTGTCCCAGCTGCCGGCAATATTCTCTCCAGACGATGGTACCATCTCCACAGGCCCAGTTCCCCAGCCCTCCAGACATCCCCAAGGGCATCTCCTTCAGGAACCTTTCTGCTCATCTTGCCTGGCATACCCCTCTTCTTATCCTCCTCACCCTCCTCTATCTCCTCATGGCAGGACCGACGTCTACCAGGGAGAAAAAGGAGCCCCCTGAAACCAGAACCTCACCTTCCCCCACAGTGCTCAGACCTCTATCTGATTCCTGGTAGCTGCTGAGTCTGACCCTGAAGAACAAGATCAGTGTTGTTGGGCAATGCCAACAAACCAGCCCTTTCCCACGGACAGCATGCTCATAGGACCAGGCAAACCTCCACCTGCTGGTCTAGAGAAGAGTCACCATGCAGTGGGCAAATCTGCTTAGGAGAGCAGGGGGTGCTTCTGGTGGCTTCCTGTTAGACAAGGAACAGGCCATCTCCTGATTTAACCCCCTATGACCTTTGAACTTCCTAGGAGGTCAGCAGCACGGCCCCCTTCCCCAGCTGTCTCTCTGTCTCTGGCCCAATGGGAGGGAGGGCCCTGGGCCTGTTCCATTTTGCGGCCTGTATTGATCTGTTGGCAGCAATGGGCTGGATAATTAGCCAGGAATTAGGGTTTCTATTACAGCCAGGAGGCTGCTCCAGCTGATTTATCACCTGAATAATTTACTGTGATTGAAAGGAAATTAAAATGAACTCCATTTGACAACTGTGAGCTTTTATGGGCTTTAGTGAAGGCTCAAAAGCCAGATTAATAGCCTGGTGTTGGTTAATAGTCTGCTGAGGGTAAATACGGCAGGCTGCAATCGGCTGCGTCCTCTCAGTGGCCGGAGGAGGGACCCAGTCTGCCAGAGCCATCACCCACCACAGTGACAGTCAGCATCAACTTGAGTTTTACTGAAGCAGATTCCTGCTGAACACACATGTGCATGTACATAGGCACACAGGTGCATGCACATGTGCACGTGCACGCACATGCACACACACACACACACAAGCAGTTCCCCCCACACACACACACCTCTTCTGCTCCGGTAGGTTGATTTTTATCCACTCCTCACATAGGGAAAACAGAATTGCTTTTTCAATAACCATTTCGAGAAGGAAGTGTTTCGTTGCCCCAGAGTGGGTCTCGTTAACCCCTTCCACCAAGGCAAAGGGGTTTCTGAGTTCTCTATGGCCTGAGTCAGAACTAAGCAAAACAAGTTCACAGAAGTACCCTCAGGACCAGCCTGCTCCTGATCTGGTGATGTTTTCCCCAGGAATTGGGTAGGTGACCAGTCTGGGCCCATGTACGTCCTGAAAAACACATGACTATCCGAGGAATGCTGGGCAGAAATGTAGCCAATCCAAGGACTGATCCCAGAACCCCAGAAACACAAAGACCTGTGACACCATCTTACACAACCTGAGGTCAGAGAAGAGCCTGAAGTCAGACTCCAGCTCTGTGGCCTCAACAATTCTAAGCCTGAAAATGTGTATGCAGTCTATTTTAAAGCTCAGATCCATATACAGGGACGCAGAGGTATGAGGTTACCCCAGCTTGCTTAGAGGACATTTAACGGAAGGGCCACTGTGGGCTTCACTAAGTACTTGGAGAGCTGAATGTTATTGTGTGTAGATGGGAATACCTCTGCTGTTAGACGGGGTATCCCTGCTGTTAAGTGAGGATACCCCTGCTGTTAGGTTGGGATACCCCTGTTGTTAGGTAGGGATACCCCTGCCGTTAGGTGAGGATAACACCCGCCCCACCCGCTGTTGCAGTTAGATGAGGATTCCCGATGTTGTGGTTAGGTGAGGATATCTCCCCCTCCCCCCGCTGTTGGTGGTTAGGTGAGGATACCCCCCATTGCCGTTAGGTGGATGCAGTTGCTATCATTGTCCGTCATGGTTACATAAATAAAAAAACTGAAGTCCAGAAAAAAGTGATGTGCTCACCAGAGCAGAGGCAGGTCTCAAATCAAGGGTCCCCAGTGGATCCTCTTTATGTCCCATCATATCATCCAGTGAAATCAAGCCCTGGGCCAGGCCACTAAGCCACAGAGACACACTCGGGGGCTGACTTGCTGGCAAATGGATAAAGTGGCCAGTCTCTTTCCAGAGTCCCACTTCTTAGCATCACTAGCATACCACTCTGGGGAGTCCCAAGGGTTGCAGGCAGGGACTGTGAACAGTCAGTCAGAGGACAGTGAGCAGGAGGGGACTCGGGGAATGCATACCCTTGATGCACATGCCTTCCCCACCAGCAGCCCCTTGCTCAAGCCATTTGTCCATAGTGATGCGGAACAGGGCACGAGGGTATGTCATTCATAGTCCAGTGCCTGCATGTGTGCAGGGCGGCCTCACAGCCTCACCCTCCATCTCTCCTCATTACAGCATGCCACCGAGAGGTGAAGCAGATTAACCAGAAAACACTGAGTCAGTCATTATCCTGCCTTGCTAGACCTGCCTCAGAACTCACAGACAGGCCTGCACCAGGCCACAGCGTTCTGAAGGGCACCATAGAACAATCTCCCCAGAGCCTGCAGCCCAGGCCTCCTCCCTGTCAGGCCTCATCTCCACCTGAGCCCTTATGCCTGTCCTTGGGATCCCAGGCAACATTCCCTCCTCAACACTGTAGCTCTCAGTACACACTCCAGAGCTAAGACCTCCTCCCCTGGCCAGTACTCCACACTACCCAGGGAACTTTCTCGTTTTTCTGTGACTCCTGAGTTCATGTCATACCATTTTATGAAGGTACTGACAGAGATGATACTGAGTTCAAGCCTCTGTCCCTTCTAAGCCTGTCACTGTGCTGAGCCCACGGCCCATGTGCAGGAAAAGTGTTGGACAAGCGAGCACTGCAGTAGATGGTGGGGGGAGGGGGTGCCTGGACAGCTCTGGGATGCCTCTCAGTGAACACCTGATCTTGGGTCCATCTTCCCTGCCATTTAAGTGAATAAAGTGGAGCACATCTTCAGGGCTTCTGGGAGATTCCCATGAAACACAGAGGGACTTGCTGAGACTCAGCGTCTGTGTTTCATTCATACTGGCTTAATGGAGATGCTGGCAACCTTGAGTGGGAAAGCCAGAGTAGGTGCAGAGCCCTGAGCCCTCTCCCTTGGTCCCTCATGACTGGACCATCACACAGCTTGAATGGAATGTGGCTTTTACCATCTCTCAGAAAGATTCAAGGGTCAACGCAGCTGCTTGTGATAGAAGTCGGTCTTCTCCCCCAAACCCAGGCTCTGGAATGGACTCAGCTCTGCCCAGTGCCTATGGCCAGTGCACTTGCTGGGGAGATGTCTTTTAACTTGTAAGAGAATGAGCATCCTCCTCTCACAGTCCATAAGACCAGACTTGTCTCTGGAGACTCTCCAGCATCACCTCCCACCCTGTGTCCTGAATCCCAGACACACTGCATCGGTCCATGCCTGCTCTCTTCCTTACACCTCAGGGCCTTGGCACTCGCTGTTTGCTCTGCCAGGTGCATTCCTCCACACCCACATCCCTTATTGTTGTTTATCACGGCTGCCTCCAAGCTAGCTCAGTCTCTGCTTTGGGTTCTCAGAGGACCTTAGACGTCTCCCCAGCACCAAGCTATGATTCATCTATACACACCTATAGATTTCCCAGGGCAAGTCCAAGCCTTTCTGTTCACTGATGGACACATAGTGTCTGATTCTATGCCTTACTCATACTAGACAACTGTCAACATTGGTTAAGTGAATACTTGCTGGGCAGCCTTAGGCAAGTTGCTTTGTCTCTCTGAGCCTCAGTTTCCCTATCTAAAAACAAACTGGCTAAATGATCTATAAAAGTTCCCATGGTTCCCAGAGAGCACGATGACAGAAAGACTCCCTGAGGTGACTCTGGAGGTCTTGCTCGCATTCATGGTGTCGAGAGGTTCCTTCAGGCTCTCAGGTGCTAGGGCCAGCTAGTGGCAGACTTACCTGTCAGAGCAGGGCCCTCTGATGGCTCATGTCATATCTAGGCTATCCACCTGCAATCAGTCCTGTGATGCCAAGCATAGGGCAAGCATCATGGGAATTGTTCTGTACTCCAAGGCAGTGAGTCCCAAGCCATGGAGTGATTCTATATATTTAGGTCATGTTCCTGACTAACCAGATGACAAAACCACATGGAGTGACCCAGAAGGTCATCACATACAACCTTATCTAAAAAGCCCTTGGAAGGCACACAGCTAGTTAGTGGCAGAGCAGCCAGGGGAGTCACATGCCTCTGTGGGTAGCTCCAGAAACAGAGATACCAGGGCAAGATGCCTCAGAGCCCCCGAGAAAGTCCTCCTGGCCTTACGGGATGTTCTGCCCAGACAAGTTTGGCCAAAATCAGTGAAAAGCTCACTCTGCAAAGAAGCTGTCCCTCACCATGCCAGATGCCTCCGCGTCCAGCAGACTGGCCCAGGTCTGCACTGGGGCAGCAGGCGGGGTAGGCAAGAATCACAGGCATACCTGCTCTGGTTTGATGGGTTCCGTGGTGGTGAAGATGTCTGAGTAGTGCTGTCTCTCAAACACGCGGTCCAGCACCTCCAGCTGCTGCTGCGTGAACAGGTCTCCCCGCATCTGCTTTCGGAGGAAGTCCCGGCCTGGAAGTGAGTGGCCATTCGGCACTGGAGACTCCTGAATACCTTTGATGAGCATTAGAAAGAAAGGGTAAGTGGAGGCTATTCTGTCACCAAAGGAGAGAAGGCTAGACCCCTGAGACTGGGAAGGGGGTCTGACAGAGCCTCCAGCCCAGCTGCCTGGCCCTGACAAGGATTTGGATAAGGAGCTGCCCAGACAGTGTTGCCTGCTGGTAACTGCAGAGCCAGCCTCCCATAATGTATGCCAGGCACTGTGCAAAGGCCTTTTGTTATGTTATTCCTTTACTTTTCACAGTGAGCCCCCAGGTATGTGCTGCGGTTTATATTTGTGCCCCTAGTGCTTATGTGTTAGAGCCTGGTACTCAGTGATTGCTTACAGGTGGTGGAACCTTTAAGGGCAGAGATTTAGTGGAGGAGGTTACAAGATTAGTCCCTCCCTTTACCCTGGCTTCCTGGTGATGTCTATTCTTCCTCCTCTTCTTCCTCCTTCCCTCCTCTCCCTCTTCTTCTTCCTCTTCCACTTCTTCCCCTTCCTCTTCTTCCTCCTCCTTTTTCTCTTCCTCTTTCTCTCTTCCTTTCTCTCTTTCACACAAGTGTGGGCACACTTACACAAGTCTTTACCAAGGTTAGGCCAGCACCACAGGTTTGAACTTTCAGAACCCTGAGCTGGATAAGCTTCTTTATAAAGCTACTTACCCTGAGGAATTTCATTACAGAAACCAAGAAAGGAACTAATTCAGGATATTACTCCTTTCCCTGCTCCACAGATGAAAATTCCAGGCCTAGAGGAATGAAACTGTTTCTTTGCCCAAGGATTTGTGCTCAGGATGACTCAGGAGCTTAGTCATAGGTGTCATCACCCCTCCTATTCCTCCTTTGTTGATGTCCTCACCCTAGACATTTGTCATCACCATTGTGACCAGTCTGTAACGCAGTGTTCTAGGAAGGTAGTCACAAACCTGTGCTAGATGGCTTGACAAAAGCCTATCAAAATCACAAGTGCACTATCCTTGGGTGACTGACTTCTGGGAGTATATTTTATAGCTAGCTAGTATATATGGAAAGTGATAGATGCACATAGTTCTTGGAACAAAAGACTGGAAACAACCTGTTTGTTCATAAAGAATGGACTAACCAGACTGTGGCATTGCTTGGACAGTGGAAAACTTTGCAGCCGAGAAAAGGAAGGGAACCAAATAACCAACCAATGTAACACCTTCCCAATCCCTGGCAGTAGGAGGGGAAAGCGAGGCACAAGTGCTGAGAGTAGTTCATGGTGTTTGTGTAAAAAGAGAAGAAGAGATGGCTTGGTGTGTCTTACTGATGTCCAGAATCTGTGTCTACTGTGTAATGTCTTATTTTCTATAAGTAAAATTCAATAGGAAAACTGTGTATAATGAGCAGGATATGAAGGTACATGTGAAACAGCTGTGTTTGGTTTCAGAACTTGAAAGTTTTGCCTATTCAGAAGTGTAGGTTAAGAAAATATTCTAGGGGCTGGAGGCTCAGCGGTTAAAAGTATGAGCTGTTGTTCTAGAGATCCTGAGTTTAATTCCCAGCAACCACATGGTGGTTCACAACCATCTATAATGGGACCTGATGCCTTCTTCTGGTGTGTCTGAAGACAGTGGCAGTGTACTTATATACATAAAAGTAAACAAATAAATCTAAAAAAAAAAAGAAGGAAAGTATTCTGCCACACTGGCTACTCACCGTGTCTATCTCTGGCAGTGCTTTTTGTATTTCAAAGAAAATACAATGAATTATTAATTTGAAAAACTAGTGAACTGTGTTTCTTGGGTTTGTGTGTCTCGGGTTTGCGTGTCTCGGGTTTGCGTGTCTTGGGTTTGCGTGTCTTGGGTTTTTGTGTCTTGGGTTTTTGTGTCTTGAATTTGTGTGTCTCGGGTTTATTTGTCTCGGGTTTGTGTGTCTTGGGTTTGCGTGTCTTGGGTTTGACCTGTTCAGAATGAAAGCAAGCTTGAGAGCGGAGATTTTTCTGCAAGGAAATGACCTCAGGGGCTCATTGTTGCCCAGGGTTCTCTAGGACACTTGTCCCTGCAGGCTGAGGGGAGGCTATGGGAACCTGGCCCAGGTGGGGTTCCTGCTTGTTCTGTTGGACTCCATGAGAGTACCACCAAGGGTCAGCTTTCCTACTGAGAGAGGCCACATATCCCAGGCTTATCACAAGAAGCACACACTGTCCTAGATATCACTGTCATGTCAAAACCCCACTCATGTGAGGAATGAGGCTAAACCAAGGAGTCTGCGCTCTGGGATATTGTATCCCTGGGCCTCACTCCAACGGATCTGTCTACAGAGCCTGAGATCTGAACAGACACCAGCTTTGGGTGTTTACCTGAGTGCTGGCCTTTCAGGGTCCCCAAGGAGGCTGACAGGCCCAGAGCACTGCATGTTCTACAGGAAGGACCTTTAAGGGAGACTTACAAACTAACTGAGAAAACAGAGGCCTATCAGGTCTCTCTGAATAATGTCCCCAGTGTAAAACCTGTGTTCCTCCTTTTTCAAGAACACTGGTCTCCAACAAGCCAGGTACCTGATCTTGCCCACAGGATGTCATTCCTAGCACCCCTTCTTTCATCATGGCCCATCCCTTGGAGACCATTTCTATACAGTCACCAAGGACAGCCGATGTAAGAGCTTGCTGCCCAGTGATGTACTTGTGCTGGTCAGCACCCACCAGACAACCTTATTATCAGGGGTCCAATGTATCTAGGTGTACTACATGCATGCGCACATATGAACACACACACATGCTCACACACACACATACACACACATGCTCACATAGGTAGATGCTCAGCTTGCTCCCACTCAGTGACCTCTCTGCCCAGTCATTCTGTGACACCCACTTCTGCCACAGTGACCTTGCACTCCAGAGCACCCATCAAGTTTCTTGCTGCCATGGACATCATACCAATTTTTTAAGAGACTGCTTTCTACCTGCCTACTTCAGCTAAATTTCCCATCCCTGCCTCTCAGATAGTCAACAAACTCCAAATGAAACCAGCTTCCCAACTGCCACCAAGGTCTCCACTCTCTGTCCTACTGGTTGTTCCCAGAGATGGACCAACTCTGCCTTGTCTGGAGGCTTCCCAGCTAACCAGGCTCTCTCAGCTGAGAGCCCTGGAAGGGTAGAGCCTTATCTCCACTGAGAAATTTCAGAGAGGGTGGCTTGACTCTGGATCCCTGCAGATCATGTCACTGGTCACTAAGTAGGGCCCAGCACAAAGTGAGGGCTCAGAGCCTGGAGCCAACTCAAGTTATGTACACTGGGTCTTGGATCCTATGAGAACGCTGCATACTCTACAGGTTCCAGCAGCCTAGATAGGACCTGAACCCACCTCTGCAGAGTCTCTCAGGAAAAGGACTGGCCTTGTCCAGCCATGACTTTCTCTAAGTCAGTACTGGCCTGATGGACTTCACTCAAGGGAACTCAAGCTGCCATGGTGACCCTGATGCTACCAGCTGGGGCTGTGAGCTGCTAAGAATCAGCCCGTGCAGGCATCAGCCCTGATACAAATCACTCTTTCTCTGTTCTCACCCCAGCACACGCTTGCTTAGTGGGGACAGAAGTAAGAGGCAGTTCCTTGAGAAGTCCTGGGATTGCTAGATGTGATGACATATAACTGCAATCCTAGAACTCAGGAGGCAGAGGCAAAAGGATTGAGAGTTCCATGCCAGCCTGGGCTACCAAGCAAGATCCTATTAAAAAAAAATACCTAAATAATGAACAATAACAAAAAGACTTAGGATACTCCTAAACACATAATTATATATTCAATTTAATAAATATCTAAAATGTTACTCTGTACAAGAGAATATTAAACTTTTTAAATGATTTTGCTTTCAACTATGCATATATATCTATGTGGGGGTATGTGCACGTACATGTAGGTACCCACAGAGGCCGGGGACCTTGGATCCCCTGGAGCTGTAGTTACGGATGGTTGTGAACCAGTGGATATGGGTGCTGGGAATTAAACCTGGGTCCTCTTCGAGAGCAATGTGTGCTCTCAACCACTGAGCCATCTCTCTAGGTCCCAAATTAAATTTCTAAAATGCAAACAAGAAGAGAAGATACAGGGATGAGGGATGCACTCTAGATAGGACGAGCCCACTTCAGTGATCAAACTAGTAAATGTGTGATTACAGGCTGACAGTGCCTATAAAGCAAGGCGCAGAAGGATACAATGTAGCCATGTAGTAAAACAAGGCACAGAAGGAT